AAGATGCTGAGAAGGCTAAGCAAATTGTTGTAGTTGGTTCTTCTTCTGAAACTACTCGTGTATGTTAAGAACGTGACGTTATTAAGATTTAAGAAGATCAACAAGCTATGAAGAAAGAACAACAAGTTTAGTTTTCAGAGAAAGCTTTGCTAAACAGAAACTTGTCAACAACTCTCTTCTGTGCATACTTCAACAAATTCTGGAAAAGATGTCAATCTATAAGAATTTGGCACTCAGGTTTTATTTCTTGACTCTATTAATTTTTTTCTGTTATTAAGAGGAAGAAATAGAATATATTTGAAATCTTGCTTTTAATGAAAACTCACCTTTTTAATGATGTTAAAAAGGGGGAGAAATAGAAAACGATTTTCATATAACCTGGAGAAATAGAATATAATCTGATATAACCTAAAGAGAATGCAAAACATCAACTCTGATATAAACTGCATTTACTACTAACTGTATGTTTGATGTTTTACCGAGGAACTCTGAACAAGTTCACTAGGCATTCTAAAGACAGGTCAAATGAAAGAACTCTGAGTTCAAATGAACTGGTTGTTCATTTATAGGGAAGTATACACTTCGTGAACATAGATTCAGAATCAGATGAACCCAATACTGTTCAGAGGATGAAAGTTAAAGTCATATGGAGTCCTAATGTTCAGAAGACGTAGACTGTTTGTGATTATGATAATCAGAACATAAGAATAAAAAATATTCATAGAAGCAAGAATTGGTTTTAGACTCAGAATCAAGAATTAGTATCAGATTCAGTATTAAACTAATTGGTATCAGACTCAAAATCAATTAGCTTCAAGAGACCAAGAATCAAGATTGTATCAAGCTCAGAAGATCCAAATATCTGACCTATTATAGCCAGGGGGAGTTCACCCATAAAGGTTCACAAGTCAGGATATTTGATTTTCACCCAGTCTGAAACTCAAGGGGAGTTTCTCATCTAAAAGAATAGCATGGCTAAGTTATCAGAAAAGAATTGTTAAAACTCTGTGCTACAGATGTTCTGATAAACAGTAGCAAATGCTTCAGAAGGCTCTGAAGTTATATGGCTCTGATACGATGTCTAAGAAGATAAGCTCTAAAAGATCTGAAGATGGAGTTCTGCAGAACAAGTCTAGGTGCTAAAGACTTACTCTCTGATATACCATAGGGAAGTATTCCTTCTAATCTGTTATATTTTTATTATATAAAAATTTATATTTTGTGAGTCTTGGGATCAGAGTAAGTCTCTAAACAAGCAAAAATGAAATTTTGAGGTTAACACATTCAGGGGGAGTTGTTGCTCGAAAATCTGAATATGTTATGCTTGGTGATTACCCTGTATAAAATGTTCTATCAAAATACATGTTTTTGTCATCATCAAAAAAAGGGAGATTGTAAGAGCAAGATTTGTCTCTACAGGATTATCTCTATGTTTTGATGATAACAATTAAGTATTTGTGAAAGAACCATTTTATGTTCTAATGTTTGTTATGTGCAGATCATGATAATTAAATATATAAGATCAAACAAACAACATCAACGTGTGCAGCTAATACAATATGAGAGTTACTATGTGTAACGTATCATAAAGTGCCTATGGGAGAAGCTAGTTTGCTTATGCATCTGATCACGATCAGAGAGATCCAAGGACGCTGGATATTGCAGTTGCAATGCTCCTGTGGATTCTGCTTTGAGTGGTGCATCTGATCTGAAAGCAAACAAAGCATATTGAAGAAGCAAGTATGCATCTGTATCTGGTCACGATCAGAAAGATCCAAAGATGATGTATATTGCAGTTGCAATGCTCTTGTGGATTCTGCTCTGAGAAGTGTATCTGATTTGGAAGCTATCAACGCATCTGAGATATAGTCCTCTAAAGAACTACTCTGAGGACTCTGAAGACGTTTTTTTGAAGATCAAGACTTTGAAGATTCTGAAGACATGATTTTTGAAGAATCAGTCACGAAGATTCTCAAGATTGTTTCAAAGGAAACTTAGATCTTGGAATGCTGAAGACTGGATTCTGAAGTTGAAGATTGTGTCAGAAGAAGATTCACCCAGACAGAGGCGTATTACTCATCAGATAAGCTGCTGCTATTAAATCTGATAAACATGTGCTTAAACAACTCTGATGCTGAAGCTTTCATACCAAAGTAGTTGCTGAACTACTCATCAGATGAATCATCAAAAGAACCAAGTCAAGAAGACTACAGTACAATGCATGTAAACATTTCACTATGACAAAGACGTTGGTACTATTCATAAGCGTGATTTCCAATGTTGAGACATTAAAGTTACAAGCAAAGGTCACTGTTCCAACATGTGAGCTTATTCTATCCGTTGGGATATAACCGTTGGAATTAGAGATGACATTTCTACCCTCACAAAGCTGCACTATAAAAGAAGATCATTTGATTATTTCAAAAGTTAGCTGTTGGTGAGTGAGTTACGCAGCTGAAGCTGATAAAGAAAAGCTTAATGAAAAGAAGCCTTAGTGCTCACATAAGAAAAGCTTTTAAGCATATGGAAACTAATGTTCTTATAATCTCTTAGAGATTTATCCTTAGATTAGTTTCTGTATTAGGAAGTAAGGAGTTGTTGCTCAATACTTGCCTTGTACTTAATTAGGAGTAATCTGCTTGATAAGAAGCACTCATGTAATCTCCGACAACACAAATTCAATTTAGAATTAGTGGTTCCTCAAGTGATCTTGTGAAGATCAGAATACTTGAGATGATAAGTGACAGTTATCATTTGTGGAATCTAATAGGAGATCTTTATTGATCAGATTCTATTAGATGTCAATGAACGTTATATCCTAAGGGATCCCTCAACATGTCATTGTCTATTTGTTAGTCACCTGCAGTTAGCTTGTGCAACTGTAATCAGTTTGGTTATAGTGGATTAAGTCCTTACTTGAGTAAGGCAAAATCACCTTGGAAGGGTGTACTGGATTAGCTTGAGAGTTGCTCAAGTGAACCAGGATATATCATGTGTTCTTTACTTGTGTTATGCTTTATTATATATGCTTCCGCAATGCATCTTATAGAACTCTATAGAAAACAACAAGTGAAGAAACCCAGAAAAAGTTTTAATAGAGGAAATACCCAATTCAAACCCCCCCCCCCCCCCCCCCTCCTTTCTTATGTATTTCTCACATCTTCAATCACAACCGTAAAAAACTGTCAACAAAATCCTGACCGTTTAAAATTTTATAAAATTAAACTATCAGAAATTTCACTTTGATTAAAATTTTCGATAAAACATGATACTTTTTAATATTTTCGATAAAATTACAAATTCACTAGAAATTCTGGTATATAATTTTTTTTAGTATATTCTATAAAAATTTCAATGATATCAAAAAATTTTGAATTGTCTATTAAAATTTTTGTACAAATATGTTTCAAATTTTTTACGGGCACAATTATAAGATTATAAAATTTCAGGGAAGGATGTCAAGTAGAACTAAGTTAAATGCTCCTAGTAAATAGTAAATATGATCTAAAGAAGCATCCTTAAAACCGTGTTTTGGTATTGTGAATATTTATAGTCTCAAAAAGATAAGAATGTGAAGATACATTAGAAATTTTTCTTCAGATAACCTACTTTTTCAAATTAATATTCAAATTAATCAACTTTTTCATGAATTTTTTAAACTAACTCACTTTTAAAAAAGAAATTAAAAAAGAAATATCGTTAATTCAATTGACGACAATGTAAAAAAGAGTATATTTTCTTTTATTTTTGTTTGTATACTGTCGCCAATTGAATTAGCGACACCTCTTATAAATTTATACACTGTCTTCAATTGAATTGGTCGCAAATTAAATTAGCGACACCTCTTATGAGTTCATACACTGTCTCTAATTGAATTGGTGACACATTTGTTAATTTATTTTTAAGTAGGTTAATTTGAAAAATCCTTAAAAATATGGGTTAGTTTAAATGTTAATTTGAAAAACTGAATTATTTGAATAAAAATTTCGATATATTAATCCTTTGCTTATTTTCTTTCCGTTTGAAATTATCCATCTGGCCGATTGAAAAACATCTTGTGTGTACTTATTTATTCGCGTGAAAAAAAAAGTTATTTTTTTCTCATCTAGATGGACAAATCTAGAGGATGTGTTTTTTAATTAAAAAAAAAAAAGAAGCTAAAAACATTACCTTTTAAATGTTTTTCTAAGAGTGTATCTAATGATACAACTCAACGTATATATCTTAAACAAACCTACAATGTCACATTATATTTAAACAACATATAAATATTTTGCTTCAATTATAAAAACATGAAGCAAATCACATAATAGTATTTTAAATAAGTACAAATCAGCCATTTAATTATTCTAAAAAACTCACCTTACCACGTCGACATGCTTCAATATAAAGAAGAGTTATAAAATGATATCCTAGTCTATGAAACTTACTAATGATATCATTGTTTGAGATACTCTAACATTCACTCTTTTATTATTCAGTGTGATAAACTCATGAGTCACAACACTTTAAATGGAATCCATTTTTTAAGAGAGAGTCACCTAAATTTCATCCAATAAAAAAAAATAGATAAGTAGGTGTTAACGAGTGTGAAAAAACAAAATAATTATTTTAGTATTTCTCAATAATAAATCAGTGAAGATAAAAGTAGCTCACTATTAGTTCGGTTTCAAACAAGTTGGGCTAAAATAGTTTCCAAGCACAACAACTACTACACCATCGAACTTAAACTAGCGATACAGCTGCAAAAGAATAACAAACACTAACTACTATTATGCTCACTTATTGCACAATTAAAACGGCTATTCTACTCTATATTTTGTTTTTCAGTCGCTTTAAAAGAACTGTTAGATGCATTATACAGTTTCCTATGCCACCAACCCTTGGTTCAAACTCTATTATGAAAATTCAAAAGGGGACATACTAATCAGTTAATTGTCAGTATTTGCATCCAAAAGAAGATGCCACACTTATTGTGGCCAGCACTATAATTCCTCCTTTCAAGAATTATTGAGATATAATAGCTCCTCCTTGCAAGTAGACTTGTTGTGCCCGAGTCCCTTGCATCGGCTGCAATGTAGATCACGCTTAACTATGTCTTGAGATCCATATCGTTTTGTAGCCGGTCGACCTGGTGGTCGTCGTGTGGGAGGAGGTGTTACTGTTACCAAAGGCTCAATAATTGCAGCCGGTACATTCATATTCACAATCGGATTTATACACTCGGAGTAAGTCAATCTGTAGCATTCAGTTGTACAGTATCTAGAGCAAAAATCGTAAACACAATGACCTATTGCAACAATGACAGCAATGGCATGGCAGCATGGTACCCCACTCAGCTGCCACGTTTTGCAACTACATTCCCACCTGTCAATATTGACTAACTCAGTTGAGTCACCACAAACTTCGTATGTACTGCCAGCCGATAATATAACTTGAAGTGAATGACTTCTTTGAATTTCCATTTTAAGCTTCTCCTCCATGGATGGACTCAGCCTAGTCGACCATTCATCAGATTCCGCCTTTCGAGTAATAATCAATTCCGTAATCTTACCCCTAATAACATCCACCATTTGTGTTATCGGTAGATCATCTGCATTTGAAGCCCAACAGTAGAACAACTCCCCAAAGTTAGAAGTCATGTGATTATACCTAGTACCCTGAAAAAATGCATTCGCCCAGTTCACCGGATCATTTTGCATTATCCAATCGTAAGCTTCAATAGAAATCCTTTTGATGCTCTCCATGCCGTTATAAAAGCCTTCTGGTTTGGTTGCATAAGCAGCAGCATATAAATCCTCAATCATGAGTCGCTTTACCTCATGAGAATACTGCTCTTTCAAGTCTCTAAAAAGTTGCTCAGTTAAGTATCGCAGGCAATATGAATGAAATGAACCTTCAAATATCTCAGCAATCGAATTTTTCAGCCCATTTTCTCTGTCTGCTACAAATGTTAAGGGAACAGATGTTGACAACTTTGATTTGAGTTGAAGCAAAAACCAATGCCAACTATCATCAGATTCGGCGTCAACAATAGCAAAGGCAACAGGGAATACACCATCGTCTGCATCAGCAGCTGTTGCTGCTAGCAATGCCCCTTGGTATTTTGACTTCAATGGAATGCTATCAAGGAAAATCAGTGGTCGGCAACCTTGTTGAAAGCCATTCAACGAAGCCAGAAATGATACAAAGAGACGATCAAAGCTTGAGTCTTCCTTAGTAGTGTACATAGCTAGACTGCCAGGATTAGCCTCCATTAACTTTTCACAAAAGAAAGGTAACTGACTATACGCCTCTTTATAAGAACCCTGAAGCTGCTCCTTCGCAATCTCTTTCCCGCGCCATGCCTGGAAGTAGTTAAGTTGAATTCCATATTCCTGCTTGATGTCATTGACAATGTCCTTGGGCTTGTAGTCCGGACAAGTTTTCAACTTTTCCTTTATAATACTTGCCACCCAATTCCTAGTTGCTTGATGCCCTGTAGTACCAGCAGCCCCTTCACAAGTATGTTCCGAATTCATTTTTTTTATGCATATCAATTGAGTACTCGACAGCCTTGATGCATGAATTCTCCAAGGGCAGCCTTCTGCTTTGCATTTAACAGTCACACGATGACTATCATTTTTTTTATATTTGAATGCAAATTGATGAGCAATGGCATATTTACGCAACGACTCTCGAAACTCATGTACGCTGTTGAATCTTTGACCTACACCAGTAATAGTATTCTGCCACTGCTGTGCCCCTTTAGCCAGCTTCTCCTCGTTCGAGGAAAGACTCAAAAGAGGTATCTCCATATCTGTATCAATTTGAAAGGTATCATGAGAAGCAACAGGTGGAGCATATTCAGCATCGGGATTCATAATGGTATTGATTGGCAACACTGTTTCAGACAAAGTTGTTCTACTTGACCTAAAACACAAAAATCAAAATCAAATTCTAGAAAATCCCCATGAAATAATAAAGACATATATCATCATAGAAACAAAGAAACTACCTACTGACAGGCATGGTCGAGACCTCAAGGGCAAGTACCTCTTCAATAAAGACATAGATTTCGACAGTACTCGAATCGCAATGAAACTTAACCATTCGTTTTAGATCCTTATCATTCGAAATCGAAATGAGAGTGGTCTTGTTACCCGGAAGAAAATACTTGATAGATATGCTACCAACATTATTAAAACTAAACATTTCTACTATCTCAGCCTTAAAGTCTATAAATTTCATTTGATCATCAATGTCCATAGCATGAGCATCACCACCTTTGTACGACAAAGTACCATCTTTTGCAGTTTCAAATTTTCCTCCTGACTGACAAATTGCAATTGTCTTCTTATCAGCCATGACCTGACACAGAAAAGATAATCTTATCATAAAAATATGAAATTGAAAAATCATAATTTTCACAGAATAACTACAACAATTCAACAAAAGAATAGGTAAAGTAAAATTGCAGCAACAAAAACTTGAGAAATACCCAAAACAATGAAAACTATGGTGTAAGAGAGAATTGATTCAGAAATGATAGCACAGATTTCAATAATTTAAGAATTTCAATGGCTAATTCGAAAATTTATCGTTAACCCTAACCTAGATTGTGGAACGCGTCGCTTTAGCGCCAAATTGAGAAATGACAGTGCGGTGTGGATATCTGCTGCAACGCAATGCTCTGGTACGGTGGAATCGCATCGGGGAAATTTTTTATATAGAGAAGGAGAAACCTGGACGACTTTCTTACTGTATCTAGCGGCGGTCGACGACCGACTCCGCCTCTGTTTTCCGGGAAGTTGAGTTCATTGCGGCTCCAACTTGTTTCTTTCTGATGCTATAAGCGGCAGTTTTTTTTATTATGTGTGATTTTAATCGTTGAAAATGTGTTTGTTTTCAGTTTTTTTTAGGGAATGAAGGGCCTCTTGAATATGAAATGTGTTCGGCTTGAATTCTATTTGAGAATTTCTTAATTTAATGCACCTTTAATATTTTTTTTAGCTATCATACAAAATTATTTAAATGTTTTTAATTTTTAAAGATATATTTTCGGACGCATAAAATTTTAAATTAATGTTAAAATATTTTTAAAATGTATCTTCAGAACAATTTAAAACATTTCATACATCCCCATTCAGAAATATTTACATTTGAATTGTACCAGAGATACATTTCTGAAAATATTTCAGAGATTCATCTCCGAAACGTATCAAAACAGGTCTTTCATGTTATATGTTGTTTATTTGTATTCAGATGAAGATTTAAAATATATCGTACACTCGAAAATTAAAAAATAGACGTACATAATTTCATATGGACAAAAAATGTCATATAAAAATAAAATACCAATAAATATCGTACAATCAAATCAATAAAGTAGGAATCCCGTCAAAATAAAGTACAGACCATAGTTTTACAAATATATAATAAGAGACTATTGTATGTGTCTAACAACCTCCCTCTCCTCTACCTCCTCTATCTCGTCTATCTTCTCGGTCATGAATTCCCTCTGTTCTTTGGCGATGTCTCCTGTATAACAATGCCCCATATGCCTCTGTCATGGTGGCTTCTAGGACTCGCTTGACATCAAATCCATCATGGAAGATACTTGTGTCAATGACTGTTTGCGCAATCTCTGTCATGCAATGACATATAGGTGAGACATCATCAGTATGATCTAGCTATGTCTGCTCCTCCTCTAGTATCTTCTGGTGAGCTGGTTTCGGCGGATCTCCTGGAGCAGCATGCACCATGTACGGATGTGATACCTTGAAGAACCATCTGATGTACCCTTCGACGTAGCTCAAATCGCTCTCAACTATGATAGCTCGTGTCTTCTCTGGTACAAGATGACTCTATAATCATCAAACATGTCTTCTATTTGTCTACGTGTCAAGGCAGGAGGAGCAGAGACAACACGGTGTCTGGGAGTGGTCTAAGTGTAACTGAACTTCCTTTTGACGCGCTCGGGTAGACAAGGAGCAGTGAGACATAACCCGCGGGCCAACCATCCATAGTATAACGTTATTTCATCAAATGGCATCGTCTCACGGTGATCAACATAGTTGTTGAATTGCATGTCCTCAACAAGAAAACGGTCAAGATATACATTAAAAGGCTCGATCGCCTGGTTCCCTATGAGGGGGATAAAAATAATAGCACGCAACATACCCTCAGTGTACTCAAGCACACTCGCCCACCCAGAGATGCGCAGGATGTGCTAGAGGATCCAAACTTGAAATAAAAAAGTTTGGAACACATGAATCATCGGTAATGGCTTTGCAAATATGAAATAATAAAAAAAACATTCAAAGACCAATAATTATTATTGTTAGTAGTGTCACGTTGCCAGTGACCTACTTCGTCTTCCACGTACAACTATCTCTCAACTTCGAATACATATAGATCAAACAAACTGTCCCCAGTTGTACTCATAGATCCGCTCGAAATCCACGAAGTACCGTAGGTAGACGACGTATATATAGGTATCACTCTTATCCACAAAAATCGCAGTGTCAACCAAATAAAGCAGGTATGTTCTCAATGCATACGATCTATGGAGCGCCACTTGCTCAGCATCACCATCAGCCTGCTCTGCACTCTGGATCTCAACCTCATATAGATTTTTTAGGAATTCAAATCTAGCATGAGCACCTCTGGTCTTATCCAACTCCTCCATCGCCACCCCTGGATCAACCTCAAGATACTCTACCATCATCTCGAGTGCCTCCTGTTTGGTCATCCTCCTATATTTTAGGAATCTCCCCCTGATCGAAAGATGTAGCAAACACGAGACATTGTCAAGTGTGATAGACATATCACCATGCAGGAGATGAAACGACAAGGTCTCCGAGTGTCATCTCTCCACGAGTGCATTAAACATCCTGTGGTTAATCATAATATAATCAGTCATGCACAAGTCCTTCAGGTCGGATAAGGATAAATTTGACTAAAATCAATCCTCATTTGGTTGAGGTAAGGAAATAATCTTTCTTCTGTGGTTAAAAAATTTCTGCGGATCATGCTCCCGAAATTTGTTAGAAATAATCAATGTCAGAAATTAAAATTAACGTAAAAAAAATAAAGAATCCAACTAATGCTACCTCTTCATCCCATACATGTATGATAATATGGTATAGATATAGAGGCAGTAAAAATAAATCAACTAGACCTCTTCCAAAAGCCTCTGGCTCAACATCCGCAGCAGTCTCACCCTCTGTAGGTGACACTAGATCAGTAGCATCATCTGTAGGAGGTTGGACTGAATTAGTAACATCATCGGTGGGAGGCGACACTGGTGAAACCTGACGCCTACGGCAGGATGAGGGGAGTGATGCGTTAGATGGTTGTCATACCCTAATTTTTTACCCTAAGATTCTGCTTCTTTTTTGCATCATCTACATAGTTCATCATGTCTTGTATCTTGCATAACATCCAATTTTTTAGGCAGAATAAATTTGTTGGATTTACAGTCGAATCGGTCAAACCAAAAGTCAACTGTGCGTAAAATTTTAAAATCGAGCCTGCAAACATCAATCATATTAATTCATGTTTCACGTAGTTTAACCTAGCGTGCTCATTTTAATTTTTTGACCATTTTTCAGTCGCATTTTTATCAGTTTAAGTCTTTTAACCGGGTAAAATTTATTTCGAAATTTGACCAAACACTGTATTTTTTCAATACGTACATTTTTCATTGATCATTTTATTATATTCATTTTATTTTTCTAAACACTTTGATACCGATACAATTATTTGTTTTTTACCGATTTTTATTTCTATTTTTTAATTAATAATCACTTTTATTATTTATTTTATTATTTTAGATTTTTATTTATAAATAGTTAATATTTAATTTATTTATTTATTAATTTTATTTTTTTAATCAATTTTAAACAAAACTTAATTAACTCATTTTAAGTGAGCTAGCTTTGCATCATGCATGGCATCAAGATAGCATACTAACACCGCATATTATGTTAAGTTTTTTGAATTATATTTAAAAATGTAAAAAATATTTATATTGTTAATTGTTTGTTCCATGTTTTTTATTAATTAGTATAATTTAAAAAAAAATATTTTAAATTCTTTTTACTAGTTTAGTTAGTATTTTTATGATATTAAAAATGTAAAAAAATTTGTTTGATTATTAACTAATTTAAATATTTTTATTTAATAATGATTAATTTAATTATTAAATATTTATAGTTAAATTAATTAATAATTCTCTAGTTGCCTGATTTTACATTGTGGTTGTTTTGCTTTCATATCTTGAGCTTATTTTTCGTGATTTAGTCCTGATGTTTTTCCTTGATTATTTCTGGATATTTTCTCACGACGTTTTTTCATGTACTTTCTATTTGTTTCTCACAATATTTTCTCGTGTATATATTATTTGTCTGTGGATTTTACGCGATGCTTTGTCGTGTACTTTCTATCTACTTTTCTCCATGATGCTTTTCCATGTATCGTCTGTTAATTCTATTTGTCTGATTACCATTATATTTTTCCATGTGTATTCTGTGATATCTTGTCTGTCTGACCATACATGATGTTTTTCCATGTATTGTATCTGTGTCTTATCTGCGTGCCATTTACATGATGTTCTTCCATGTATATGTTGCTTTTTTGGATCCTTATTGAGTTAATTCAAGGGGAAGGATTGTATGTTGACTTATTGTCATTGTGCATGTCCCTTATTTGCTTGTCTTTGTTGTTTTTGGTTCTTAGAACCTGGCAACCTGTGGTTCCACGAACTACGAACGCTCTGATTTCTCAAGTTCCTTTTGAGAATACGTAGGCACAAGGTGTCAATCCTTGGCGAGCACACTTTTCTTTTTTCACACTCTTTTCTTTTACACCATTTTTCATCGTAGTTCTGAACTACAATTGCTCTGACTTCCTACTAAGGATACGTAGGAATAGGATTGCGAGATCCTAGCGAGCCACCCTTTTCTTTTTCACTCTTTTCTCTTTTATTTACCCATCCTTACCTTTAGCAAACAATCTTAGCCAACACAAATATTTCAAGAGGTTCCTGTAGAGTACTACAGATGCTTAGGGTGCTACTACATTCCCTTAGTATAACCAACCCCCGTACCTTTGATCTCTCTTTGCTTAGCTTTATGCCTTGCTTTGCATTTTAATTAGGGTTTTTGTTCGATCTTTTCTCCATTCTCTTGGATAAAATAAAAGTTTGGTGGTGATATCATTAATTTGTGAGTCAAGCTGATCTGATAGCTTTGGTATTTGATTCTCACTACAACAATGGTGAATCCTATCTTCTACGAGAAAAAGAAGATGAAGTGGCATGAGGAGAAGCACGAGCCCCAAATGTAGACAGCTCTGCCTAACCA